TCTATGGGTCTATTTTTGTGCCAGTACCATGTTGTTTTTTTTACTATAGCTCTGTAATCAGCTTGAAATCTGGTATAGTAATCCCCCCAGAATTGCGCCTAGTGCTCAGGATTGTTTTGGCTATCCAAGGTCTTTTGTGCTTCCATATGAATTTTAGGATAGTTTTTTCCAATTCTGTGAAAAATGTCATGGGGATTTTGATTGGCATTGCGTTGAATCTATATATGACTTTTGGTAGCATGGTCATTTTCACAGTATTAATTCTTCCAATCCATGAGCATGGGAGGTCCTTCCATCTTCTTATGTCTTTCTCAGTCTCTTTAGAGATTTAAAATTTTCATTGTAGAGCTCTTTAATGTCTCTGGTCAGGTTTACTCCGAGATATTTTATTTTTTTTGCAGCTATTGTGAACGGGAGTGTTTCCATGTGCTCTTTCTCTGATTGCTTGTTATTGGTATATAGAAAGGCTATAGACTTTTGTAGGTTAATTTTGTAACCTGCCACTTTACTGAACATGTTATTAATGTCTAGGAGTTTTGGGATGGAATTTTTGGCGTCCCTTAGATATATCATATCATCTGCAAAAAGGGATAATTTGATCTCTTCTTTTCCAATTATTACTCCTTTAATTTCCTTCTCTTGTCTTATTGCTCTTGCAAGAGTTTCAAGTACTATGTTAAACAGAAGTGGGGATAGTGGACAGCCTTGTCTGGTTCCTGATTTCAATGGGAATGCTTCCAGTTTTTCTCCATTTAGAATGATGTTGGCTGTGTGTTTGTTATATATGGCTTTAATTATGTTGTTCCCTTCAGTCCAATTCCATCTAGGACTTTGAACATAAATACATGTTGAATTTTGTCAAAGGCCTTCTCTGCATCAATGGAGATGACCATGTGGTTCTTGTCATTGAGCCCATTTATGTGATTTATGACGTTTATTGACTTGCATATATTGAACAAGCCATGATCTCTGGGATAAAGCCTACTTGATCATGGTGAATGATCTTTTTGATGTACATCTGTATGTGGTTTGCAAGTATTTTATTGAATACACTTGCATCTATGTTCATTAAGGATCTGGGTCTTTGTTTTCTTTTGAGGTTGTGGTTTTACATTGTTTTGGTATTAGAGTGATGAAGTTTCATAGAAGGAATTTGGGAGGTCTCCCTCTGCTTTTATCTTGCTGAATAATTTAAGCAGT